AACTGGTGACCCTCGAACTGGTGACCCTCAAACTGGTGACCCTCAAACTGGTGACCCTAAACTGGTGACCCTAAACTGGTGACCCTCGAACCGGTGACCCTCGAACTGGTGACCCTCGAACTGGTGACCCTAAACTGGTGACCCTCAAACTGGTGACCCTCAAACTGGTGAACTGGTGACCCTCAAACTGGTGACCCTCGAACTGGTGACCCTCGAACTTTGATACAACAGAAAGTTTGGAATAACTCCCTGTAAACCTGCTGGTCACAGCTTGGACCAAGATTAAAATCTGACCAGAGAAGCTAAATAATCAACACACCGTTTCCCTGTTGTCTTGTTTTTAGCTGTTCAAACTGTAGAAATGAGAACTTTAAGCACAGTGATAATACAACGCACAATATTTTACTAAAACAGGTAGGGACGCAGGATTAGATCTTTAAAGTGACAACTTAAATGACATAACTTGACAAATCCTTCATGAAAGTCATAATTTGGGCTGAGAGTCTCAGTTTTATACTTTTGATAGTTTCTCAAACACACCAGAGATTTTACTATCAGCCTAAATATGTTCATACTTTGAGGTGAAAAAGAGAAAGTAGCTAAAATAGAGAAATTACATTTCCTGTGAAAATGCAGTGTGAATTCTTATTGCAGAAGAACTTGCTGAGAAACAGCTGAAATTAGCTAAAAAAAGATGAAATCTAGTTGGAAAGAAAGAACAAGCCCAAATTAGCAGAAAAAGCAGAAAGAAAACATATTTGTTGAATTAGGTTTAAATAAGTAGAAATGAGAACAAAAATTAGGAAATTAGCTCAAAAAACTGAAATTGGCAACAAAAAACAAATTGCTGAAAAGCAGCTCAAAAGGCAGAAAGAAGCTTAAACTACCAGAAGGAAGTGGAAAGACCTGAAATGAGCTAAAAAAAAGTGGAATTAGCTGAAAAATCTAAAATGAGCAACAACAACAAGAGGAGCTGAAATACCAGAAAAAGCTGAAATTAGCATAAAGAAGTTAATTTGGCTGAAAGTAGCAGAAATTACCACAAAAACAAAAATATATCTGAAAACGGCTGAAATTAACAAAAATTGCAAAAAATGTAGCTGAAAAGGTAAAATAAGCTTAAATTAGCAGAAGACAGCAGAAAGAACATGTTTGCCCAATTAAGTTAAAAGAAGCAAAAATGAGCACAAAAAAGTGGAAATTATCTGAAAAGAAAAACTTAAATGAGCTAAAATCTACTGAAAGTAGCTAAAAAGGCACAAATAAGCTTAAATTACCAGAGAGAAGTAGAGAAAGCACATTTTTGCTGAAGTAGGCTGAAAAAAGTTGAACCGAGTGCTAAAAAAATGTGGAATTAGCTGAAAAAGATAAAATTAGCACAAACAACTAAATAGTAGCTAAAATAGCAGAAAAAGCTGAAACTTGCAGAAAAAAGCTGAAAGGAGCCAAACAACTGAAATTAGCAGAACAACGTTAGAAGAAGTTGTAAAATGTTGTAGTTGGCAGAAATAATCTAAAAGGAGCACAAAACTGCTGAAAAAACAGCTGAAAGTAGCTAGAAAGAAGCTTAAATTACCAGAGGGAAGTGGAGAGAGCACATTTTTGCTGAATTAGGCTGAAAAAAGTTGAACTGAGTGCAAAAAATTTGAAATTAGCTGAAAAAGATAAATTAGCATAAAACAGATAAATAGTAGCTAAAATAGCAGAAAAAGCTGAAACTTGCAGAAAAAAGCTGCAAGGAGCATAACAAGCTGAAATTAGCCAAAAGAAGTTGAGAAGCACAAAAATGTTGTAGTTAGCAGAAAGGTTCTGAAAGGAGCACAAAGCTGAAAAACAGCTGAAAGTAAAAAGTTTAAATTTGCAGCAGGAAGCTGAAAGAAGCCGAAGCAGAACAAAATGTGAAAGGAGCTGTAAAACGTTGTGAACGGATCTAAAGATGTGAAGGATGTAAAATGAGCTCAATTCATTTTCTGTGAGAGAAAAAAATGCAGAAAAGACTAAATATTTCAAAAAGCTAAAGTTGCACCAATACCAGAAGCGAGAGCGGGAATGATGCCGAAACACGTACGGAACAGTTTAAGGAAACTATAATAATAAATAGAAACAGGATCACAATAGTGTTAACACAAGTTAACACGGTTTCATAGTGTTGAGTGTCAACATTATAACAAATCTCTTGCTAACGCTGACAACAGGTTCTCAGGTGTTTAACTCTCAGGTGTTTAACTCTCAGGCGTTTAACTCTCAGGTGTGTAACTCTCAGGTGTTTAACACTCAGGTTTTTAACTCTCAGGTGTTTAACACTCAGGTGTTTAACACTCAGGTGTTTAACTCTCAGGTGTTTAACTCTCAGGTGTTTAACGCTCAGGTGTTTAACTCTCAGGTGTGTAACTCTCAGGTGTTTAACACTCAGATGTTTAACTCTCAGGTGTTTAACACTCAGGTGTTTAACTCTCAGGTGTTTAACTCTTGCATGTTTAACGCTCAGGTGTTTAACTCTCAGGTGTTTAACGCTCAGGTGTTTAACTCTCAGGTGTGTAACTCTCAGGTGTTTAACTCTCAGGTGTTTAACTCTCAGGTGTTTAACGCTCAGGTGTTTAACTCTCAGGTGTTTAACTCTCAGGTGTTTAACTCTCAGGTGTTTAACTCTCAGGTGTTTAACTCTCAGGTGTTAACTCTCAGGTGTTTAACTCTCAGGTGTTTAACACTCAGGTGTTTAACTCTCAGGTGTTTAACGCTCAGGTGTTTAACTCTCAGGTATTTAACGCTCAGGTGTTTAACTCTGACAACCACTTGGAGAAAACTGCTTCATGTTTCCTGAGAAAATGTGATTTATTTTTTTCCAGCAGCTGCTGTTTGTCTGAAGAGCTCATAATAGATTTTATATGTAAACTATTGATAAAGTTTAAAATATAGAAAATGTATGCTACTACGTTTAATATTAGTCTTTATTTGTTCAATAAGCTGTTTTTGTTAAAAACTGTTGGGAAAATATATTTTACATGACATCTGAAAACTCTCCATGAATTAATAGTTTATTTTAATTCAAAGTAAAAAGTATTGATTGGCCCTTGACTAGGATCATATTTTAAATTTTGGCCTCCTGTGGATGATGAGAATATATAGAAACAGAAATGCTAATCTTAACGTGCACCATATCACCACAGACAAGACACATCCACTGCTAATATAATAATGTTCCTTTATCTGAAATCTAAAAAAGGTCTTTTAAAGCTGAAACGTGCATTTTTCAAACTTTGGCTCAAGTCCTGATGTGTTCTGCTTGTTGCTTCGACTTGGCTCCTAAAGTTTAATCCTGAAAGACCCTTTTGATGACTTTAATTGCATGAATTTAGGAAAATCTAAGCGACTGAAAGGCTTGGTAAGATGTTCTGCACGGGCATCGGAGCGTGTTTGTTTTAAGGGCTACACTTGACCTCCTCCTCCTCGAGGAGCCATGAGGACACAATGGAGAGCTCCTCAGGGCTGTCATTCAGGGCCTTTCTTCTTGTGCTGCTGCTGCTGCTGCTGCAAAAATCAGAACAAGCACAGAACATGAAATAATACTCTGAACCTTTGTTTCCTCCGTTCTTTAAAATAATATAAATCCACTTTGTTCTTATTTGCATAATGTAGCTTTACTGTTTTATTTATGACCTCCTATGACACCTGGGCTCAAGTTAAAATAAAAACACAATCTCAGTTTACAGGCTGCACACAGGAATGAAGTTTTCAAATGAGCTGTGCGATGTTTGTCTCTTTTGTTCGTCTCACTCAGAATATTGTTTCTGCCACAAAAAGAGAGACTAGAAAACATTTTCCTGCAAATGGAACAAGCAGCAAAGAATACATTTAAGGTGGATTCAATGTCATTTATTTACTAAAACTGTTTTTTAAGTCTTATTGACGTCAATTAGCAAAGTCAGTAATTAGTTCAATCAGGCAACAGCAGAGATTAGATGTTTTGCAAATTATTTTAAATAATATAAAATAACGTATGGCTTCTAACGACAGACGGACCTCACCAACACTCACCCAGTCCAGGAGTTTATGTTCTGCTCAGAAGAAAATAATCCCTGGTTTCGTTCAGATTATGTATGGTTGTTTGTTTTAACTGGACTAATCTGTACTGGCTGACTAAATGAGAGCTGCTGAGTACAAATGTGAGATGTTTATTAATAAAAGGAAGGAATGAAACTGGAATTATATGTATTGCATAGTTAGCTCTACGAGTAGAGGTATTTTCTTCTTCATACTTAAGTTTCATCTAATTGAAACTACTAGACTTACCCACAATGCACATGGACGTGTTTGGAGAAAACCAAATGCACCACATAAGCTAAAACATCTCCCACTAACTGTCCCACAAGGTGGTGGAAGAGTCATGGTTTGGGCTTGTTTTGCAGCCACAGGATCTATTGCAGTCATTGAGTCGACCTTGAACTCCTCTGTAAACAAAATGTATCAGATCATCTGCCCTACAGCTGAAGCTTAGACCTGTAACAAACGCTAGGACCCCAGATTATATGGACTGAAGCGAGACAGACTCAAAAACATAGAAAAGTTAACAGGGTTTAATTTACAGAGCAAAATATCAAATGACCAAGGGAGGCCCTGGAACCTTGGGGGAACGAGGAGACGAGTCAGGATGGTGGAGTCCCAAGAGATGCAGGTTAAATGAGGAAGAAGGTCCGCAAGGTTTCCAGCATGACGGAGGAGGATGCCTCAGGTGTGGCAGGCAAGTGGTTGGAAGGCGAGGAGACAGCCGAGGAGTTTTCTCTGAGGAGTCTAGGATCCAGTGGAACTCAGGTGGAGGAGGAAACGCGTAGAGAGCACAAGGTAAGTTTAACTATTGCAGTTATTCACACGTAGAGGTTAGGAGCACAAATACCAGTAGGCATGTAATGCTCCAGCGGGGAGTAGAGCTCCTCTGCAGCTTTATATAGTCCTGGCTCATCATCGGGGGAACGGGTCTTGGAAATCCAGAGGCTGCAGAAAACTGAACTCCCCCAAGCCCAAACATGAAATCTGCATCGGAACAGCTGAAAAAGAAGAGAATCCAGGTGTTGTAACGACCTGGTTAAAATCCAGACCTCAATCTAACTGAAATGCTGGGATGGGACCTAAAGAAAGTGGTGCAGAAAAAAATACCTGCAACCCTGAATGATCTGAGACAAGACTGGAAAGAAGAGTGGGCCAAAATTCCTCTACAGCCTCATGAGAGACTGACCGGTCCTACAGAGAGTTACTGCTAAATTCAGCTTTCCATTTTAGCTTCATTTTTTTGTTTAGGAAATAAGGACACGATGAAGCATGTTGTGTTTTTGTACATTTGAGGTTAGATTTGAATAAATTTAAACCTAGTGAAGACAAATTATTTTTTGTGTTCTGAAACAAAAAAAGGTGAACTTTCCTTTTCCCTTCACCGTAACGCTAAAAACACTGAATTCTGAGAGCAATGAAACCTGCTTTATGGAACTAAGAAAATGTGCATTTCTTCTCCAAATTGTAGCTCAGTTTTAAAATTATTTTCTGCTTTGTTTTGAGTAAAGATTTAAAGAACAGCTCCAAGGTCACATGTTGCCCACGTGCCGTACATTCTCTTCCACGAAACTCCTCAACAAAGCTAATCTGTTGGCCACAATCCCAGAACTTTGAAATTAACTTGGTTTTGTCTTCTCCGTCTCATCACTCTCAAGATGATAGTGCTGATTGGGATTTGTATTTTCAAAGCTGGGGCGGGAAAGTGAGTGGGTGTTCAGGGGTGTGTAGGTGTTTGTAGCAGAAAAAGACAATACAATTAAATGATTAATGCACAGCAGGGACACTGACAATTAAAACTATTATAGAAATTAAAATGGCATTATGTCACAGTGGAAAGCTGATGATACCCGTGTCGTCTTTTTTAAAAGCAATTTTCATAATTTCAATAATTGAAATTACTGCATATTCATTCATTTATTGGGTGAGGAGGGCTAAGAGCGGCTACTAATGAAATGCAATCATTAGCATCCAAACAAAGTAATTGGGTAGTCTTTTATCCTTGGAGATAGGTGATAAGGCACAATCACCCTGTCACCCCCCCCTCCATCAAAACGCAAAAGCAAGTAATTAAAGCACAAGACCAACGCTGCTGCTCTGTACCCCACTGAAAACAGCACTGATTGCCTTGATTAGAGACCTTACTGTACCCTCTGATTTTGTTTATGGGTACTCTGACATTCTTGGAGAAAAGAAGCGTACATGGGTGTGGGCTATGAATTTGTTTTTGTTATCTCTATTGAAAACTGATGGGAAATTCTTAGAATATTTTTTATGTATACTGTACTCTCTGGTGGTGCCTCTGGTGGGTCTCCTTCCAGCCTGCGATGGAGCTTGAAATCTCCACTAAATCCACATTTAGCTCAGTTAGATATCAGCTCCTTGTACATACTTAAGTTAATGGAAAATAGTGCTGCTGTGTGTGACAATTATCAACCTGCTCCAGAGGACAAGGGCATAAGAAAAGGGAGGCTGGGTGGAGGTGGAGAGGTGAGTCGGTGAAGAAGAGAGAGGTTGAAGAGAGAGGAAGATGTGCGCATGAAGAGTCTTGAGAAAAAGAGCTCCTCCTCACTCGTCTTTCTAGTGGGGACACCATTCTCTCTACCCTTTCCTGGTCAGATCCTCTGTGGCTTTCTGGTTGTTTCTTTGCACCACTTCCCCCACCTCCCACCCCTCTTTTTCACAATCCTAGGAGAGCGTCATTAGGCCCTCCTGCAGGGGAGTCAAGAATATAATGCAAGCGGGGCCACCTTCTAAAAAAAGAGCACAGTGAAACCTTTTCTTTTCGGGCTGCCCCCTTATTAACAGTCTTCACCGCTACATGTCAGCTGTAAACTTTGAGTTCACCTCATTCTTTGCTTCTATATCCATCTTAAGCATAAGATGTTTTTCGTTTCTATCCCCTTGTTGGTCAGAGAAGATTGCTTGTTTCTTACTAATGCAACAGATTGTTGATAAAGCGTTACCGTCACCTTGACACTACGTGTCTACCTTCTCTAATGGTACTTTGCCACTGTCTCTACACTCACTGGTTCTGAACCACACCACACTAAAAGGGCCTGCCCACTGCCGGTACCCACCACCACTCAGCTCTGTTTATGGGACCTTCTTGTTCGTGGTTCTAAGCGAACTGCTTCGATGTGACGATTTTGAGGTAAGTAGATGCTGATTGGTCAGCAGAGCTACGTCACTGGATGACCCGACCAGCAATAACTGCAAACTACATCTGAACCTCCATTTCCTCTACAATCATTGTAGAGTGTGGGTTTATTTTTTATTTTTTAGCTTTCTAATGTCTAGTTCAGTATGGAAGCTCCAAAAATAGTGCCGTGGACCAGTGACGAGGTCCAGACCTTTCTCTCTTTATTGGCAGATCAGAGGATTCAGTGAGAGCTGGGCGGCGCTACAAGAAACGGAACAAATTTACCACAAGATATCAAAGATGATGGCGCAGCATGGCTACACTTGAACCTTTAAGCAGTTTACGGATAAGCTGAAAGTACTGAAGTCAGATTACAGTTACGATTCCGCCCAAGAAGCGAGGGAACAAGTCACAGTGGCCATTCACCTACACATGTGAAGAACCGATAAGACGAGAACTGACTCGAGTCGCACTTGTCAATGGCAACGCAGCCTAAAATGAATGGATGAGATGAAAACAAACAAAAAAAATAAGGGAAGAAAAACCCCTCCTCTTATAGCCTTGGACCTGAAGTCCACCATTCCATTTTTGCAGCTAGTAAAAGAAGAGCTTTGCAACTCACAAAATCAACACATTTCTCTCTTGCATGCACCTTCACAATTTCTCTCTCATTTTTTTATC